ATCCCTTTTCAGTTTGAAATGGAAGAGGTGGTACAGGGATTCCCAAAAGCACAGGGAGTGAATCTGAACACAATTTGGATTCCCCCTAAGAGCTTGGTGGTGTAGTGGATGACGCTTTGGGCTGCTAACTGAAAGGTTGGCAGTTTGGACGTACCAATTCTTACATGGGAGAACAATGTGGCAGTCTGCTTCTGTAAAGATTTATAGCATTAGAAATCCAATGGCACTTCTACTCTGTCCTGTAAGTTAGAGTCCAGAGGCAAGGGGTTTATGTGCTATTATTTGGTGGGGGGTGAGGGGGAAATGATTTCCTTGATTAGGCTGGGTTTTACACCCACTGCTTAAAGTGCTAGGTAGCTAGGAAACAGGGACAGGGGGTTGTCCCTCCCATGCCTACACAGGGCCACCAGGGTTGCACTAGAAAACAAAGATTTACCTGGAAATCTTACATCCTGTCATCTTCCTCCAGCACTAGGCTTTTGTGGGAGCTTTGGAGAGAGCCTCTGCCCTCAGATATGCCTGTGCTGGAAGTTTTGGGCTTTCAGTTAGTGTGTTAGTCCAGGTAGACTGGAGAAACAAATTCATAGAGGAAAGAGCTTTATATACAAGAGCAATTGAATATTGAGAAAACATCCCAGCCCAGTCCAGATCAAGTTCATAAGTCTGATATTAGCCCAGATGTCCATAAGTCCTCTTCAGAGGTGCCTACAGCTGTAACTGATGGCTACCTTCAGCTCAGGCTCTCTCTGGCCCTGAAACACATGCAATGATGCCGAATGCAGGAAGATCACAGGCCAGTGGGTGGGCGATCTTGTGGGTCCTGTGGCACTGTAAGCATCTCAGCTGTGGCAGGGGTCTCCATGTGGCTCCTCCAGCTCAGGGCACTAGAGTAGTTCCATGTGTCTTCTCAGCTGCAATGTTTTCCAGGGAGTGAACAAGAGAGTGTTTTCTGCCTCCAAGGAGGAACACAGGAGTTCCCAGAATCCTCAGGAGAAGACCATGCCTACACAGAGGCCTCATTGGCTATGACCTGATTGACAGGCTAGACTCCACCCCTTCACCCTTAATCCTTTCAAATTGGTAGACGATTATATAACTACCACAGTCAGACTCAACCCATGTGATAAGGGGGCCCTCCAATCCCATTGCACAAGTAGCCCCTGAAAATTAAAGCCTAACTCTGTCTCCAGCTTGAGATTCCTACAAAATGATTGTGCTGCCTGGTCTCCAGCCCCACTCCAACCTGCCATGCACAAACTTCTATACTCCAGCTCCTGTCCTCCTTCAACCCTGCTGTATGAAGCTGCTTCCAAGTTCCCTTACAGAATACAAGTCATCTTGGTCTAGGGATTTTCGTCTCGCCAAATATGAGCACTCCTTGTACTCTTGTGGGAGAAAAACGGCTTTCTACACCCAGGAGGAGGGACAGTCTCAGAAGCCAGCCAACTAAGGTGTCCTGTAGGGCCTATCGGGTAGCTAACAGTCTGGGTTGTCGACTCAATGGCAGTGAGGTTCTTTGGTTTTGTTAGTGTTTTGCTTTGGACTCTTGTAGTCCTCCAAGGCTCTGCTGAATCTACCTTGACTTTGGGACAAGACTAGCTGCTCCCAGCAACCTCTCTTACCATTTTCCAATCCTTTTCTCACACGGCAACCAGAATGATCTTCATAAAGCAAAAGACCATGATAATCATCAATTCAGTAAAAAAGTCAGATTTAAAAAAGATTTTTCCCCTGAAGTTAAATTCCTAACTTTTCATCCCAAAAAGTTTAGAAAATTCAAGAAATATTCATAAACTTTGCCCAGACCCAGAAAAAAATACACCTTCAATAGTATACATCCTTCAAGTGCCACCTGTGGAGGCCATCATCACCAAAGTTAACTGCTTAGTAAAGTGATTCAAGCCAGTCCCTCTGAATCCGAGTCACAGCCACGTACTCCGAGGCCACAACTGTGCAGAAACATTTTGTATCCAGGGAGTGAGAACTCTCTCAGGATTGAACCCCAGGACTGGTCTGGCCTGCCCAGGGAGTACCCTGTACCTCCAGATCCTCGGAACTGTGGGCCCAGCCTACACAATTAGTGGCAAAACAACTAGGGGCAGAGGTAGGGGACCATTTCTGAAACCACAGTCTCAACTGTCAAGTCCTAGTCTGGGTGAGGTGGAAAGGAGGGGATTGTACATCTGTTCTGAACCTCTTTTAGTCCTCGGGTCTCTGACATGGTCTGGGCCTTGGGTCTATGACTGTAGCTAGCTGGTTTTCAGCTACCCTGGGGCTGGCCATCCTGGGGGCAGATTCTCATTGTCTTTGCATCTTCCTGTTCTTCCTTTGGTGGGCAGAGGAAGCAGGCCATTTTCACTAGGGTGAGAAGCAAGATTCTCTCCTCCATCCACCATGATACTGGCCTCAGAGCTGCTGCTCCAAGCTTCCTCCCCAGAAGGTTTGAGCAATGAGATCACGAGGGACCGCCCTGCACCTCCTTGGTTGAATGTATTCATCTTTCCTTCTATGACCTGTGCTCTGCAACTCAATTACAAGTGTCAGTTGAATGTGACTTGAAATTTGGCATTGGGCCTCCCTCCACTCCTGGAAACTGCTTCAAGGCTGGAAAAAATGTCTGTTATCTGGCTTCGCTTACCTTTGCCAAACATCAATCGTAAAACTTGCCCATCCTCTTCCCTGGCAGACTCCTCTCCAGCCCCCAACGCGCACTCCAGCCCGCAGGGCCCCGCCACGTTCTGTCTCTGTCTTGGGTGGTTTCCAGATGTGAGCTCAGCTCTCAGCTCCCCACCCAATTGTCCAAAGAAACATGCAGATTCTGTGATGGTGGGGAAAGGAGAAGGAGAAAGCTAGAAATACAAGGGGGTTTCAAAAAGTTTGCAAAGAAATTCCATGATCATTTCATGCCATTTTCCCAGGAGATGCTTGAAGCCCCATCCTCAGAACAAGTAGGGAGGGTCTGAGAGGGGGTGGAAGGAAAGAAAGAGAAGGTGGGAGGCGTGCTAGAGATTGACTCACAGATGAAGGGAAAGCAAGGTGTCGGGTAAGGGTGTAGCCTTCGCTTTTTCTTCCTGTTTTCCATCATGTTTCAAATGCTATGTTGAGGGCCTTTGTATGCATGGGAGGGAGGGAGGGAGTTAAGCACTAAATGTCTTCTCTAAAGGAATATATAATCGAAGACAGATGGCAATAAAACAGACCACAGGACAAATCTTAAGCAGTTCTCACAAACCTAGTGTATAAATAAATAGATAGCATATTATTTTCCACAGCATCAAAGGTAAATGTGCACTTAACTGGGTGGCAGATGTAGATGCAAACTCAAAGCAGCCTTGAAGCTCTCCTGATCAGGGCAGGTCGGTGAGTCATGCATGTTCCTTTCAGATCTGTGCACATTGATCTCTGTCAGCAGAGTACTTTTCCAAAACAAACTAAAAGGGCACATAAGCGTACAAAAACACATCCGTGCATGCTCTCTCAAACAGCAGTTGGGTAGGGGTCCCCCCCAAAATCATAGAAGTGTTTTGCCTACAAAGAAGGGCAGGACACCCCCCTGTCCACAAATGGAAAGGCTTTCCCAGGTATTCCACCGTTCCAACGTTATACCCAAGTTCTGCAGGGTTGAATCTCCCAAGAACTTGCTAACAAACTTCCTTGTCTCATTGCATTCCTAAATAAGCAAGTGCGGGTGTGAGTCTCTGCCTGCTTGATGGAACTTTTTCTAAGCCTGGAAAAGGGTTGGAATCAAAGCACACTAGGAAAAGCACCCCAACTCAGTGACTCTAGATCTCGGGGTCCTCTCTGATGAGCCAAGTTGACTTATGGCTCTGTGCCTTTGTTCAGACTGCGTCCCCGACTTGAGATGCATTTGTCCCCTTTTCTCTCCTCTCTCCCAGAAGGCTTCCCTCTCATCCTCCAAGACTTGGCCTGCAATCATCGCCTCTTTAAGGCAGCCTTCTCCGACACCCACTGGAGAACCAATCATTTCCTCCCCTGGATCCCACGCACTCCACTCAGGTATCTACTGCAGCCTCTGTGACACTTCACACATTCAGGTTTCAATGTCACCTTCTCCGGTTTAACTCTAAGCCTATTGGTCTTTTGTCTCCCAGACCCACCACTCTTCCTGGCCCAGAGAATATGCTCAAAGCATGTTTGTTGACCCAACTGAAGGTCAAATTCCTTCAGCCCTTGGTTAGCAAGAGTCTGTGACCCTGGGAACAAACTCGCCAAAGACTCAGACTTCAGACCTACGAAGGGCCTGTAAGAGCTAGCTTCAAGACCCTTTTGGGGGTTGTTGATGTGTGTTTTAGTTTCATCTTTTGGTATTCATACAGCACAGTAGTTTCTATCCACAGTATACCAAGGTGGGTCTTCATGACCAGAATACATTAGAAAAAAAAAAGGGTGGCATCCAAATCTAGATCATAAAAGACATCCCTGCTTTTGCCATAGATCACCTGCTCCGGAAGAGCCGGTTGTGTTTTGAGCTGCATAAATTACGACGTACACAAAATTGTGTCTTCCCACCGTGTCAGACTTATTTGGCCAATAGGACAGCACATCAATGAACGAATTCGCAGGGCTGGCTGGTCCTATGAGTTAAAGGGATGGAAGGTGGAAAAGGCCTGGTGCCAAGGTTAAAGTGACTGCAGACATCGCAGAAGCACACTTCCGAGGTTGTGGTCTCTGGGTCGGTGTGATAATTGCAAGGTTCCTCCTGCACTCTTGACGCCCAGCGAGTTGATGCAGCCGCTCAGGGCTCAAGGAGAGCTCTCAGCCTGCAAGGACACAGGGTGGGTCCTTGTTGGCGCGTCCTTTACCACCTAACCAACATCTGAAATCCAGTTGTCACTTCCAAGGGGGTTGACTGTTCAGGTGTTGGGGTCTCCTTGGCTGTCAGAGGGGAGCCAAGTTTCCTTTCTGGTGATGTGTTTTATAAGCAAACAAGTTCTTTCATGTCCCTCGTTACATTACGTCTGCTTCCTTATCTAACTGCCACATATGTGTCCACGGCAGAACTTTTTTTCCCCCGCTTTAACACAAGTTTCTTATCTAAAGAATACATATGTCCATTCCTAGATAATGGGTTTTGAAATTTTTATTTTCTAAGGTAGTTTATATGTTTTATATATATGAATATACTTTGAAATGTCATATTCATAACAAGCTGCCATGTTGTAAGGATCCACAAGCAGCCTACATGGAAAGGGAATTGAGGCTGCCTGCCACCAGTCACACTGTAAACCACTTTGGAAGTCTGGATCCTCCAGCGCCGAGGCCAGTCTTCGGATGAATGCAGCCCCACCTAATGGACCTACCGGCTACAAATCTTATGGAAGATGCTGCGGGACAAAGAACTAAGGCTGCCCTTTTGCATCTGGTTTCTGAAAAGAGTCTGAGCTAGTACAGTGTTCCCTGTCTTTCTGAAATAGCCAGGCAAATAACAGCTACAGGGGGCCTCCACCTGACAACTCACTTCAGGACGCGATGCAAGCCAGGTGCATACTCTGATGGAATGGATCAGAACTACACACCCAGGTCCCAACTTGCATATTCATGGATGCATGCATATTCATGAGGTCCCAATGACTCAGGGACTCTGGATCTCAGAGCTCTCCCTGGATTGGTGCAAACATACATGAGTGGGAGAGAGTAGCATTATCTCTGGTGACAAAGGAGATTTGCCAGAATTCCCCTAGGCCTTGTCTGCTGTGTCTCTTTGCTTATAGCCTTTCTGATTATAATAAATGGGTAAGTATAGGCCATCAGCTTCATGTATTTTGTGAACTTGGGCTAGCAGTACAGCGTTGATTTGTCCAGACCTAGCACTGGGTGGCTGGGTGCTAAGAAAAGGTGGTCACCCTATGAAGAAATGTTAGGTAACTAGAGATGGGGGTTGTCCCTCCCATGCCTGTACAGGCCCTCTAGAGGAGGTTGGAAGGGAATCAGGTGAGCCTTAGCCACTCATGCAGACCCCAGCCAGGTGGGTGGTACACCTGGGTGGCCCAAACTAGGCCCAGGTGGGCTTAATTTAGCCAATGGAGTCGACCAATACCTTCAACCACACCTCCCAAGCCAGAGGTTTGAAATACCCTGGCGGAGGGAAGGCCACTCTCTTTTTACTCTGCTCCTGGTCAGAGGCAGGTGCAGGTAGGAGGCGTGCACACTCCGGGCCTGCTCCAGACGGACATGGCCCTGCGCCAGGCCTATTCAGGGCCCACAGCCTCTCCTCACTCATTCTCTTTTTAACCCTCTTCCAGTGCCGCTCTCTCTTCTCACTTACTCTCCCCAGCCAACGGCTGCTCAAGCCATACTGCACGCTCTCTGGCCTCGGGTCACCACATGTGGGTGCACAGTCCCAAGAGGCTGCCCGTGCCCAGTGGTGAGCCCTATCAGGGTTTATGGTCAGTTTGGCATGCTTCCCTGAAATAGGGTGTACCCTTTTGAGACCGTAAAACCTGAAACTTCTCCTGTCCTTCATAAAAAGCCACTTGCATTATAAACAGGCCTCGGTGTGATACCAAATTATTAGCCACTGGAGCAAACTCACCGAAAGACAAAGTTCTAGTTTATTACCAAGCCCCAGGGGCCCAGAGAGGAAAGAGGGGTGGACATTCTAAGGTACAAGAGCCAGGCCTGTGGCTAGACCCTGATTACCTGACCTCTGATATTTGGCCAATCACTGGGTGAGAGAAAGCATGCTATAAAGGAGAGGCTCAGATTTATAGAGGTCTAGATAAAGATATGTACATATGCAAATATATCTATATGAGGATGGGGAAATAGATCTATGTATTTATAGGTTTAGTATTAAGGTAGCAGAAGGACATTGGGCCTCCACTCAAGTA